AACACGGCCCGGCCAAAGAGCCCGAAAAACCCACAACATCCATTAGGTTCTTTAATTCCTCCTCACTTTCTGCCGTCAGAGTGGTATCTGTAAGCTACACCAGTCTCCAAAGAGATCAGATGAGCTGGGAATAGAGAGATTTCAGAGTTTAGTCAGTTCCTATGTGGCTAAGATGAGCCCAAAACCTAGCCAGTCCACTGCACTAAACCTCTTTCTTCAAGTCCATCCCCTTTGTTAAGAAAAAGCAGAAACACTACTAAACCATGAGTTAGTCCTCAGGTGAAATATGGGCTCTATTTGGTAGCAAACATACATGGCCAATTAATTAGGCTATTCTGTTCAAGTGACCAATGCATGCACTCATGTTCATTATCGCTTTTATTAAGAAATACAGATCTAATTAGAATTCAGATTAATTCAAAATAAATCAGTTAATAACATTTCCCATCAAGTCAGTTAGATCACCCCTCAAACTCCAGCTAAGAAAAATAAAACAAGAAATGCATACTAAGCTAGAATAATGTCTACGCATTGCCCTTCTTACGTATCCAAGGATTCCATAATCTATAGAGTCTACGCATTGCCCTTCTTACGTATCCAAGGATTCTATAATCTATAGTCCATCAGGCAAAGTTAGAGTCCAGTTGTAATCCATTAGTCCATGTTGGCAAAAAGGCTTCATTCAGATGTTATAATCCATCTTGGAAAACAGGCCCTTCTCCTTCTCTTTCCATCTTTCTCAGTCAAACTCCATTTTACAACTCTATCCCCCTCCTTCTTCCTCCACAGGATGACCAATCAGGAACAAGCGAAAAGTATCTTGTCCCGCCTAAGTTTCTCATGAGAATCTTGCAGGTGCAAGGACTTGTTATGACTACAAAAACCTCAGTTCTCCAGCCATCCTAGCAACAAGATAAGGCTGAGAGCCATGCCGTTGAAAACAGCATGTGGAAAATTTCTACTACAGACACGGACATTAATTCAATATGGATGCTATTAAGACAATCTTATGACTACATAAACCATTCTTATAAACCCCCAAAACACATATCATTACAGTATCATCTGCATATCTGAGGTTGTTGATAATTCTGATGGCACTCTTAATTCTGGCTTGGGATTCATCTAATCCAGCCTTTCACATGATGTATACTGCATATAAATTAAATAAGCAGAGAGACAATAT